TGGTGCTGGGGCTTCTTCCCTGAGCAGAAGGCTGTGGGCTGGGCAGTTTCCTAAAGAAGGGGTCTCTGAGTATGACAAGCCTTCTGACCTCCATGCGCGAGACACCTCCATTCCAGCCAATGTGTGTGCTCAATGCATCCCAAACCTATTTTATACTTTGTTTTTGATTTATGCCTTTTCCTCCTTCAGTAGTATCTCTTCACTTCAATGGCCTAAATCCTTCCTATCTTTGAAAACTCAATCGAAATTGTCCAAAAAGTCTTCCAAGCTTATCCCAGCTGGAGGTGGTTGCTATCTGATTATGGGCTCCCATGATACTTTAATTTATGTACCATTTATTTGGCACATGGCATTTACTGCTTTCCCTAGCCTAATCATGAGTCCATGACTCATCTCCCCAACTACATTATATGCTATTTGAGTCTACATAATAGGTACTTAAAAGCCTGTTAATTGAGAGTCACTTCTACTATAATCTCCGAGAACTCACTGGGATCCTAGTTTTCTCTTGCAAATCAATATTCTGAAGAGCTGCCCCATTCCCCTGTGATGCCAGTGTTACAGACGTGTGTCAATGACAAACCCAAGAGTAGAACTCTATGTTAACCAAAGGGAAAGGGTCTGCATAGATGATTAAGGGAAAAGGTATCAGAGGAGGCTCTGACAAGGAGACACAATGACCTTGATTACCTGATTTTAGGGCAGCAAGGATTTTAGACTCCCAGAATCCAGCCCATCCCAAGTAAAGCCACCAGAAACAATGGCGCTAAATGGGTGGATTATCAGAACTCTCTTCCACTAAGGTCGTGCCATCCAGCAAACAAATATAAAAGAGGAGATTCATGAACTAGAAAATCAATTTAGAATCTAGGGGGAAGCCAAAGGCTATCTTAGCTTGACCTTTAGCACACAGTCTATTTCAGACTAAATTTTATTATGGAAGCACATTCCACAATAGGCTTGTAGTGAGGAATAGAATCTAATTAGAGCTGACAACGCTCCTAGCCTTAGCAGAACTAACAGTCTGAATGAGAACCTGGCTTGGTGGGAATCTGAAAGGAAAATAGGGTGAGATTATAAGGAGACAGAGTATCTCCAGGGAACCCAAGGAGTGGCTAGGCAGGCACACTGTAGTTACATGGATTAGACTGTGCATGGTTAAAAAGTTAAGTAACTCACTGCACTGGCAAAAGGAGCTAAATAAATGCTATATATATTTTTTTGCGGTATGCGGGCCTCTCACTGTTGTGGCCTCTCCCATTGCGGAGCACAGGCTCCGGACACGCAGGCTCAGCGGCCATGGCCCACGGGCCCAGCCGCTTCGCGGCATGTGGGATCTTCCCGGACCGGGGCATGAACCCGTGTCCCCTGCATCGGCAGGCGGACTCTCAACCACTGCGCCACCAGGGAAGCCCAATAAATGCTATTTTTGAAGTCTGTCAACAAAAACTCAAGTGAGAACAGAAGTAGCTAAAATTTGTGAATGAAAATCAGAGAAAACACAAGACAAAGAAATGGTTTAGGAAAATAATTCTTTGAAATGAAAGGATTAACATGAAAATATTCTACTCCTTCTCTAAGGGTCCTAAGGAAACAATTTTTAGAACTGTGGTGCATGTTTGCTAAAAAAATTTTCAGTTCTGTGATTTATTTTTTGGCATTACATTTGATTTGAAAAGAAGGTAAAAGTCTTATAATCATTGTACAAAGAGTCAGATATAAAAATATAAAAAGATAAAAATGACTCCTTACTATTAGGCAATGAGTCAGCATGGGTCCAAGTTTTGCAATATAGATCTCTTGGCATCAACTCTGGGAAAATGCTTTCAAACTCTAAAATCCTATAAAAATGGAGAGAATAATTACCAAATTAGACCTATTGCTTTTCACGTAGTAAGCACTTTATTAACCATGTTAAATTGTACACAGAGAATTAATTTTGTTATTTCTTTCTCTCTTGAATTATTTTATTATCTTTTTTCTTTCCTTTTCTGTTCTTTTTTATCCTCCCTCTTGGTAACACTTGTGCATGATATAAATTTAAAAGTTTCCCCATTTTTATTCCCATATAGCCACTTTTGTTGGTTTCTTATGTATACCTCTAGAGTTAATCTATGCACTGATAAGCATATATGCACAAATAGAATTATATATTGCACATTATTCTGCATTTTGGTTATGTAATTACATTTGTACCTTATGAACTTTTACATAATTGTCTGCCTTATCTGTCTTAGATGCCATATAACATTTCATTGTCCATATTTATAAGTTAAAGATATATATTTAATTACCCTCTACTGATGCACATTTCAGTTGCTTCCAATTTTTGTTATTTTTATTTCCAGCAGGGCTTCAATTAATATCTTTGCTCAAAGACATTTTGCATGCGTGGGAGTATATCAGTAGAATTAATTCCTAAAATTGGAACTTTCTGGGTAAAACAGTAGGGTGCATCTGTAATTTTGATGGATATAGCTAAATTGTTCTTTATAGGATTTCTAGCAATTTACATACATAACAACAAAGAATGAGAATTGCCAGTTTTCCCATGCTTTGGTTAATGAGCATGATATTTAAAGTAAAAAAAAAAAAAAATCATTGCCAATTTACTCAGGCAAAATGTTATCTCAGTATTTTATTTTTCTTATTTTATTTCTTTTCTTGAACAACCAGCATCATTTTTAAAAGTATTCTTAACTTCTATATTTTAATTTTTAATTACATTAATTAAAAATTTTAACAAAGCTTAAAATGTATTAATAATTTACATCTTATATAAATTGTCACATTTACACTTCAACTCTCATAGTTTTCTCTGGGCCTCTTCACTTTTCTTAAAGTGGAGGAGTGTATTAACACCAAGGTGGCTTTTATTCAGCATGTCCCTATGTTCTTTGGCAAGCTTATACATTTGTTCCTTTGTTATCTGTCTTTAAGTGTCAAAATATTCATGAGTACAGTCTATCTGGTTACATTAGCCAATAAATGATTGGCATCAATGGGGGAAAATGTCAGAATAAAGCTGAGGGTTATCCATTTTTTCCTTTGAAAATGATTATAAAAGGATCATTAGGGCTTCCCTGATGGCGCAGTGGTTGAGAGTCCGCCTGCCGATGCAGGGGACACGGGTTCGTGCCCCGGTCTGGGAAGATCCCACATGCCGTGGAGTGGCTAGGCCCGTGAGCCATGGCCGCTGAGCCTGTGTGTCTGGAGCCTGTGCTCCGCAACCGGAGAGGCCACAACAGTGAGAGGCCCGCGTACCAAAAAAAAAAAAAAAGGATCATTAGAGTTTTTCCCCTGTGATGAGCACATTTTGCAAATTCTTTATGTGACTTCAACTCATAGTTAAACCTAACTTCCCTATTTCATCTTAGAAATTCTTCTCTAGTCTCAGGAAGGGAAGGAAGATAAGCTATTTGAATCTTTTAGGGGGTTCTGAGGTCAGTAAAGAAGCCCCCACCAAAGGAGATGACTTTTACCAGAAAAAGAACATACTTCATCTTTAGTTACACATATAAGGTCTGCACTATCAATGAAAATGTCAGA